CAAATGCAAAAAATAAATAAATAAATAAATAAATAAATAAAAATAAATAAATAAATAAATAAAAATAAATAAATAAATAGAAAGAAAATAAGTAAACAGATAGATAAAGAGAAGTAAATGAGCAAATAGGTAAAAGGAAATAAATAAATAAATAACAAGAAACAAATGAACAAATAAATAAGAATAAAGAAATAAACAAATAAAAGACGAGAAATAAACAAACAAATAAAAAGAAACGAGCGAATAAATAAAAAGAAATCAACGAACAAATAAGCAAAAAAAACAAACAAACAAGTGCAGAAAAGATAAATAAACAAACAAACGCAAAAAAGATCAACAAACAAACAAATGCAAGAAAACAAACAAGAGCAGGTATAGCAGACAAACAAATACAAAAAAGATAAACGAAAATGCAGCAATCAAACTCAAGAAAATAAAAAGAGATACCAGCAGTATGCATGCAGACGAAATAACATATAATAGAGAGATACATAAATAAATAAAAAGAAATAGAGATAAACTAACAAAGACAGAGACAGAGAAGCAATATATTGAAATGTAGGCAGACAAAGAGAGACAAACAAAGAAAGAAAAAAGAATGAGAGATAAACAAACGCATGCACAAACAATCAGTGCAAGACAATAGTTGTAACAACAACAATAATAATAATATTAATATTAATATTAATAATATTAATAATAATAACAATAATAATCATCAGCATATTAATAATAATAATCATAATAGTATTAATAACAACAACAACAACAATAATAATAATAATAATAATAATATTGAGTATTATAAATATATAATACTAAATATTATTATCAATGATAGGAAGCGTAGCAAGCAAAAACAAACAAAGACAGAAAAGAAAACGGAAGCAAAGAGAGAAAAAGATAGAGACAAAGAGACAGAGAGATAAAGGGACAAACAATACAATAGATTAGATTAGCTCAGCTGTCTCCTTACCTCGCAATACTCAGCAACACAGCCACACCAGCGATAAAGAAGAGAAAGAGAAGAAGAAGAAGAAAATATACGAGTTATTCTCTTGCCGCATGCAAGCTTAAGACAAATCTGCAAATAAATAAAAAAAATAAACAAATACAAAATATTTATTTTCTCGCTCAGATAGAAGCATTAAAACAAATATTATTTTACTTTGTACTTCACTTGTTTATCTTTTATTATATCTACAAATAAATAAATAAATAAATCTATTGTCTTATTATTATTATAATATGAAGAGAAAGGAGAGAAAAGAGCAGTACACACAGCCCCCCAAACACGCAACCAGCAGCAGTTCCTGGTGCTGCTGGGCTGCTGCTGCTGCTGCTGCTGCTGCTGCTTCTCCTGCTGCTGCTGCAGCTGTGGCACTAGGGTTTGTTTCTTACAGTTGCCCTCTGCTCAGGAGGCAGTTTGCTGCACTCCTCATCCTGCGCTTTGAAATCTGCTGCTGCTGCTGCTCGTTGCTGCTGCAGCAGCTGCTGCTGCTGCTGCATCTTCGCCCTCTTCTGCTCCTGTCTCCTCGCCTCCTGCTGCCGCCGCTGCAGCTCTTGCTCCTGCTGTCTCTTCTCTTCTCGCTGAAGAGAGAGTCTGTATAGCAGCAGCAGCAGCAGCAGCAACAGCAGCAAGGAGGTTGATTGTTTACCCAGATTCATTTGCAAACAAGTAGAAATAATCTAAGGACGAGGAAGAAGACAATACAAATAAGCTCAGGTGTACATGCAGGTTGCTTGCGGTGTATCGGCACCTCAGAGACTCTTGGCGCTGAATCTCTTCAAATGCAGCTTCTTGTTCACGACGCAGTCTGAGCCACAAACCCTAAACCCTAAACCCTAAACCCTAAACCCTGAGCCCTAAACTCTGAACCCCAAACCCTAAATCCTAAATCCTAGACTCTACATCCTAGGCACTACACCCTAAACCCTAAACTCCAGACCCTAAACCCTAAACCCTAAACAACGAGGTCTTATGAAGGTTTATTCTATACACCCTAAAGGCAGACGAATGCAACAGAATGCAACACCTAGAAGAAGCAAAAGAACAAGGAAGGGAGAGAAAGAGAAAAAAGAAGAAAAACAAATGAAAAGAATAAAAGAAAAAGATTTGATATTAAGAAGAGATAAATAAATATTTGATATTAAACAGAGACAACGCAAGAAGACAGACAGAAGAATAAAGCCCCAGAAAGAAACAGACTATTTCAAATGCAACAAACAAACAGACAAACAAACAAAACACGAAAAATAATATTAATATTCATTATTATTATTATTATTTTAATTGTAATAATTGTTATTACTATTATTATACTTACTATTATAATTGTAATTATTATTATTATAACTGCAATTATTATTATTATTACTATTATCATTATTATTACAATTATAATTATGATAATATTATTATTATTATAATCTGCCTGCTAAGCAGCAGTTGGTTCGGTGCAGTGTTGAATTTGCTGCTGCTGTTAATTAAATAAAAAAGAAAGAATTACATTTGTGTCTGTCTCAGAGCCTCTTGCTTCTCATTGCATATTTGCTGCAGCTCCTCCAGACGGTCGATAGCCCCAACTGCATGCGATGCTGCTTCTGCTTCTCCCCATGAACCTTGTAAAGCCTGAATCCCGGTGCAGCAGCAGCAGCAGCAGCAGAAGCAGCAGCAGCAGCAACAGCAGCAGGCGCAGGGAGTCTCAGATAAGGCAAAAGAAGCAATCATGAAGCAAAACATCCGCCTCCATAGCAGCAGCAGCAACAAAAACAGCAGCAGCAGTTATATCAGCAGCAGAAACAGCAACAGCAGCAATAATATCAGCAGCAGCAGCAACAACAACAGGAGCCCCAATACCCCCAACAATCTCAGCAAGAGGAGCAGCAGCAGCAGCAACAGCAGCAGAAACAGCAACAGCAACCGCAGCAGCAGCAGAAACAGCAACAGCAACCGCAGCAGCAGCAGCACCAGCAAGAGCAGCAGCAAGAGCAGCAGCAAGAGCAGCAGCAAGAGCAGCAGCAAGAGCAGCAGCAAGAGCAGCAGCAGCAGCAGATTCGGTTACTGTATGGAGCCAGTTGTGTGCAGCTCTAAGCCAATTGAGGTTAGGATCTCTCGGTGGAGAGTTAGCGAAGATAGGGTTGGGGATAAATATTAATAAACAAGGAAATGCATGCAGCTGCAGCAGCCGCTGCAGCGCGACGCCCTCGCGGCTTCGCGACCAAGTCGCAGCAAACAAACACCCGTGTGTCTCCTGAAAATCATAACGCATGCAGCAGCAGCACCACCAAAAGCTGCAATACTACCAGCAGCAGCAGCAAAAGCAGAAGTAGTAGCAGCAAACGCAGCAGCAGCACCTCACGAAACAGCACCAGCAGCGACAGATATATATATATATATATATATGCATACACATATATATATATATATATATATATATA